AGTCTCCATTTCAGATGTAATGATTGCTTACTGAAAATATGCATTATGTGGATTTTCAATTATTCAGATCCATTACTTTTCATGAGCACATCATTACAGTTCTAAGAAGGAGAAAAGAAGATTCTTTAATTCAGAAAGTAAGCCAAAGATTGACAACAGGCAAACTTGTTTTATCCCCAAGTACATACAAGTTCAGTTGTTACCATCTTAGCAAAAAGAGTTTTTAGTTCCTTCTTTTGAATACTTTGAATGCACTCTACAGCAGTATTTTCAGAGAGGAGAGTGACATTTTACAAGGACATGTAGTGAAAAGACAATCGGTAATGGCTTTAACTGGAATAGGGGAATCTTAGATTAGATATTAGGAAGAAATTCTTTACTGTGAGGGTGGTGAGACACTGGAACAGGTTGCCCAGAGAAGCTGTGGCTGCTCCATCCCTGGCAGTGTTCAAGGCCAGGTTGGACAGAGGCTGGAGAAACCTGGTCTAGTGGAAGGTGTCCCTGCCTGTGGGAGGGGGATTTGAATGAGATTATCTTCAGGGTCCCTTCCAACCTGCGCTTTTCAGATACATGGGAAGAATCATAGAATCATAGAATGGTTTGGGTTGGAAAGGAGCTCAAGATCATCTAGTTCCAACCTGCCTCCCATGAGCAGGGACACCTCGCAGTAAACCATGTCACTCAAGCTCCATCCAACCTGACCTTGAAGAATGTTTCTCACTAGCTCTGAGCAGTGTTTTCCGTCTTCATTTTTGCATGTTTGATACTGCATATATACAGAGTTAAATTCAGAATTCCTCCCTTCACACTTTGATGTTTGTGATGGATGCTGTTATCTCTAGAAAAGAAAATACAACCCCAGTTTAATCATGGTGGAAAAATAAGAGAAGCAGTGTCTATAACTAGTATTTTACAACACCTGCTGACAATTTTATTCTGTTATCATACTAAAGTTTTAAACTAGCATTTACGATTGCCTGTTTGAAGTCTGTGTCATATACTTGCAAGCTTACAATGTCAAGAAGAGCAAGTCTTCTCATGCTCTGTATTTCTTTATGATGCATCAGATACTTGAACCACAGTGCTGGACAACAGGCCAAATGTAAATGCAGTTACAGTGAATGTGTTACACAGGCAGTGGTTTTGAGATGTTTTAAACATTTTCTCACTGCTATCACAAGTTCTAACCAAGGCTTGTTTTCAAATCCTCTGCTGGGGGCAGTTAAACTGGTTCCAGTAACTTAGGTGGCTTAGTCATCGTAGGTCAATGGGATGTGGTCACCAGTGACTGCAATGCAGATTTCCTCCAAAGACATAGAGGAGGGCCACACATTTATGGGATGAAGTCTCAGGAGAGATCTGGGCTGATGCCAGCTCCCAGAAGTCTCTCCAGCAGTGGTTTCCTATCTCTTCTTCTCTTGCTTCCTTGTCTCTTCACCTTATAACTAACTCCCTATTGCTGTTCTCACTTCTTATTTTACAATCTGTATGTTTATGTTAGATTATAAACTCCTAAGCACAAGGATCTTATAATTTTTAATAACTGAAAAGTTATTACACTGTGCACCTCAATGGTATCTGGTGCTTTCATCTTTTTCTCTCTTCCTTCCCAGAAGTGAAGGTTCTCATCAAAGAGATGGAGCTATTGTGGCATAGGGTATACTTTGGTTAAAAGGAAGAGGGAGAGCTCACTTTCAGCCTACTTACAGTCCCTTGCCTTAAAGAATGCAGAAACCATGCCATTGCAAAGGAATTTCAGTGCAGTAACGCATGCAATTACTGACAGTAATTTATATGGCTGTAGAGCTACTTGAAAAATAAATATTTCTTGTACTGTATACTGATTAGATTTCACAATGACTGCCTACATTGTATGGTAATAATAGCTTTTTTTCTAGGTAATAATAGCTTTTGAGATGCATGTATTATAATAGATATTGCAATAAATATAATAATTAATTCCATAATTAAAACTCATAGCAATACTAATGCATCTTATATTCAAAGCACGTTTAAAACCAAAAGATCATTATACACTTACTGAAATATACATCTAGTTTCTAATGAGTTTAATTAAAAAAAAATTGGTATTGTGGGGTTTTTTGGTCATAAGTCCTCCTTCTTTTTTTTTATGTCCTTGAGCCTTGTGATCACTCACCACTTCTCAAACCTGAACCCGTACCTTTTTGCTTCAGAAAGCTGTATGCTGGAGCTAAATATGTGGTTGCTCCATAATGTGAACAACGCTAAAGTAATAGGATTGTTGTGAAATACTCTGGTTTTCTGACAGACTTCTAGACAGCTTAGACAGCTACAAGTGTGATGGCAAAACAATTTACCTTTAGCCGTGGGTTGTGTTTCATGAGCTACATTATGAAGTGATGTTGACAGTTTTGTTGTCATTTTGGATACCCTCTTTCTGCTTATGTATTTTAAAAATCTTTAAGAAACATACTTCTTGAAACTGTGGTCAGTTTAGATAATGGCAGCAGTACTGCTCAGTTGAATAGAATAACATATTGACCAAGAAAAATCTTAGGCAGGATGGATATATACTTAAAAATTAATGGTGTCTTTCAGAAAGCCCAAATGTACTTCTTCAGGGGTTTCTTTGTTAAGATGTTATCCTGCCCTGATATTGCAAGGTGGCACGTCTTCTCTGCCCTGCTAGGAGTATGTTGGGTTTCTGAGAGCAGCCTGAGTGTACTTGCAGGTACAGTCCACAAATAAATGGGAAAATCTTCATCCTCTGGAGACAAGAAAGGGGCCTGTAGCTGACATCTGCAGGTTTCCTTGCATGGTGCTGTCTTCAAGTATAGCATAAAACAAATACATCTTGACCAAGGGTTGTTTAAACATCAAACAAGTTTTTGGGAACAAAAGGAAGAATTCCAGGTTCACTTGGGTAAACAACTGTATCAGAAAATGTTTTAGGAGTAGGGAGGAGCTGGTAAGGGAGTAAGCAGCAAAGAATGTATTTTGTTGAGGTCTGAAGAGGCTTAGCAGCGGTCACCCTGCTAGGCCTTGAAAAGACTATCAAAACAAATATGATTAAGTAGAGAAAAAATTAACTAGAGGCATTTTGAATGAGGATAGGGCTAATACTGATCCTAGGTGTGGCTTTGAAATTAAATGGATGTTTCTCCTTATCTTTTTATGAGGATAGTGTCATCAGGTACAGAAAGTATGGAAATGTGAACTGTTCTGTCCAAGATGAAAACTAACAAGCCCACTTAAGCAAAGGGACCAATGAATCTCAGAATAATCATAGAATCATAGAACAGTTAGGGTTGGAAAGGACCTTAAGATCATCTAGTTCCAACCCCCCTGCCATGGGCAGGGACACCTCACACTAAACCATATCACCCAAGGCTCTGTCCAACCTGGCCTTGAACACCACCAGGGATGGAGCATTCGCAGCTTCCCTGGGCAACCCATTCCAGTGCCTCACCACCCTAACAGGAAAGAATTTCCTCCTTATATCCAATCTAAACTTCCCCTGTTTAAGTTTGAACCCGTTACCCCTTGTCCTATCACTACAGTCCCTAATGAAGAGTCCCTCCCCAGCATCCCTACAGGCCCCCTTCAGAGACTGGAAGGCTGCTATGAGGTCTCCACGCAGCCTTCTCTTCTCCAGGCTGAACAGCCCCAACTTTCTCAGCCTGTCTTCATACAGGAGGTGCTCCAGTCCCCTGATCATTCTCGTGGCCCTCCTCTGGACTTGTTCCAACAGTTCCATGTCCTTTTTATGTTGAGGCCACCAGAACTGCACACAACACTCCAAGTGAGGTCTCACGAGAGCCGAGTAGAGGGGCAGGATCACCTCCTTCAACCTGCTGGTCACCCTTCTTTTGATGCAGCCCAGGATATGGTTGGCTTTCTGGGCTGCAAGGGTAATGAGAAAACAGAAGCATGAAAATGAGGTTCAATACCATGGGCTTGTCATAAACTTGCTGCATTGGGACTGTTCAGCCTGGAGAAGAGAAGCCTGCATGGAGACCTCATAGCAGCCTTCCAGTATCTGAAGGGGGCATATAGGGGTGCTGGGGATGGACTCTTCATTAGGGACTGTAGTGATGGGACAAGGGGTAACGGGTTCAAACTTAAACAGGGGAAGTTTAGATTGGTAGGGGGGTTGGAACTTGATGATCTTAAGGTCCCTTCCAACCCTAACTATTCTATGATTCTATGATAGGTATCGTATGATGCTGTAACAAATGTGTTTATAACTATGGCCTGAGCTACTGCAGTTATTAAAACACTGCAAGAATTTGCCTAATTGGAAAGGAAAAAGAGTAGAAATTTGCTTTGTATCAATCAAGTTTGTAGATTAAACTTTGAAAAAAACATTTGGAATACAGAGAAGGAATGTAATTTTTTTTCTAGGAATGACTTGGAAATCCTCAAGGTCTGCAATAACAGGATGAAATATGAAGTGCATCATCAGGAATCTGGGGAGTAGTAAGAAGTTATGCAGTGGGTTGGGAGCTTGTCTTTGGAAATTATAAGAAAGACAAATCACTGTAAAGAAGGAATACCTGCACTTTTTTACCACAGCAAAGAGAACAGTAAGATGAGGCAAAGAGAGACTTTCCCTGAAGATTTATGAAAATATCTGTGTGTCTAGAAGCTTTACCAAACCCGTTCTGCAGTTACAAATTATTTGTTAACGAGAGAGGAACCCAAGTGGCACTGATAAAAAAGCAAATAGCCACTACTCCTGCACTCTTGTCTAGTGCTGGCTTGATGATGTGTTATGTGAAAAGAACTGTCTTTTCTGCACCAATTTTGAGGCAACTACTACTAATGCCAGTACTGCTCACTAATGGGCTATTCTCTTGGGTTTACTAATGAATAGCCCATTTCCAGCAGGGAGAACTGTACATTTTTAAAGAAATACTAGAAAATCACTATGAATGCAAATAAATGAGAATTAATTCTGCTATTTTTTTTCTAATGGGGCTTTTGAGAAAAAGTAATTATCTTTCTTTGTCTTTCAGCCATGGAAGAGTTAATAGTCGAGCTGCGCCTGTTTCTTGAACTTCTGGACCATGAATATCTAACTTCTACTGTCAGGGAGAAGAAGGCAGTAATAACGAACATTCTCCTGAGGATACAGTCATCAAAAGGTCAGTGTCAAGGGAGGGTGTTCTTGCTTGCAGAATGCACAGAATAAGTGAAATGGGTTTAAGGGCTAAAGACAAACCACAAATCGAAGCAAGACAGAAAGACGGGGTGAAACCAAAGTGTAACTTTCCTGAGCCTTTTCCTTCCTGCTCAGCAGTAAAATATAGCACAAGGCATACTGGAAGTATCTTGGGTGCACACGGGTGAATCCAGCCACAAAATTATGTGCTACATGGTTCACTTCTGCTGAGAGCGGTTACTTCATTTTATTTGTGGCAACAGTGCTATTTATGAGTTTTGATGGAAAACTTATACTGTATCAGGGAGTGCTGCCCACAGTACAGTTCTGTACATGTGTGGCACCACATGCTGCATCTCTGTCAAATGACCCAAATCCATCAAAAGGCTTGATATTAAGGTTTCCAGTATGTTTGGTTTGCATTTTGCAATTAGAGGTATATACGCTTTCCCCCTTTTCTTCCCATCTAAAACCATTTTGATTGCACAATCACTTTTGTCTCCATGAAGGTTATGGAACTGAATGCTATATAAATGATTCAGTGTGTACAGTGACTTTTCTATACAGCTTATGTGAAGATTATTCCTCAGTATTTTTTCTAGCAGTACTTTTACATTTCCTTAAAACACCTTTCTGCGTGAAAGTGGCATCAGGGTTATAAGACCACTGTCTCCCCTATAGTTGACACTGACGGAAATACTGTCAGTGTAAACCCGCAGTTTAGCTGTTTGAAAAATACCAGAGTGTGTTGAAGAAAAATGCCACATTGCAAGCAGCTGCTTTTCTCATTTCTTTCTTCTCCCATCCTGAAATCCTATGGTCTCGTTTGATGCAGTGTTTCCCCCTTCAGTAAAGAAATCACTTTGCCACAGGATTCAAGTCCAAGATTACCTTGAAAATAATGGCTGTCCTCCTTTCTGTTTTGACATTCTTAAAGACCCATCTCTATTTTTACTTTACTACTGAGAGAAGGAAGCAGGTACTGATTTCACATATTGTGGCAGGAGGCTTCATGCTCCAAAAGCTGATCAAAATATAACAAACCCCCCAGACCAAAATCCGTAAATGAGAACCCGCAATTTGCTATGTTTAGAAACAGCTTTATTTTACAGTTCAAAATAACCTCAGTAATTCTGATTTGACACTGCATGTTCTCCTTGTAATCTTTTCAACTAGATTTATTAAGAAAAACATTAGGCTTCCTCAAGAAGTCCAGTGACGTTCTGTGGACAACTTTGCAAACACAGGGAAGGGTTGTCATACCCTTTCCTTCTGGACTGTGGATAATGTTGCAGCTGTACAACTAGAGCTACAGCTCCAGCAGTAAATTTAGCAGTGCTGGGTATGTTTCTGAACCTTAGAACTCAATTATTTATGCTGGTAAAATATGGAGTGGTCCTTTGCATGGATTTGGCCTGAGCTGACGTGTCTCCTCCATCAGCTCCTAGGCATGATGTGTGAGTTAGCATGGCCAAAGATCTGTTCCCAACAAACAGTTCAAAATCATCACCCTTCACCTTTGCTTTGGAGGGTGAGAGATTTTAACCCTGTGGATAACAATTTCTCCATACCAGAGCACCTTCATAGGCATGTTTAGTTTATGACTTCAGATTTGGCCAAGGATAAAAAGACCCAAGGTCCATAGCTTTGTGTCTTTCAGAACATACCATTCTGGTTTTAAAGCCTATTAGAGATATATAACAAGATCCACTACATCCTATTACAGGATCCATCCATTAGCAAGCTCCATAGATGATCCGTCTATTAAGTGGTAGAGTTTAGCTCAGTGCAGTTGTTGCTGGAACATTTTACCTACTTCTAGTGTCTACATTCAAGGAGATGAAATTTAGACATTTCAAAGAAAAGTCATAAAAGTGTTTGAAGGATCCAGAAATATGCATTCAAGTTACCTAAATGAGGCATCATAATTAATCTTGATGTAGAAAAAGAGTGACTGAGAATGAGCTCTTAGACTTAACAACAGTAAGTGCAATGGCTAAATGTTTGTTTCAAAGTGGAAATAAAGCACATGTTTTGAGCACTGAAGCTATGAACTCATGGAAGAACTTCGTAAGCTCTGCATGCCACTGCTGGCATTTCATCAGAATGGAATATTTTGCTAAAAGATATGCTCTGGTTCAAACAAGAATTAAGTCAAGGAAATCCCATAGTTCAGTTAAGCAAGAGGTCATAGGACTATACTTTATATGTCTATAAACTCTAGTTTATGGAACTGCAATTTAAATAGTGTTTAAGCCAGCATGGCCTATAAAAAAAAGCATCCTGTTTCTCTCCCCAGGCTACTCATTCTTGCTCATCCTGGATTGCATCTTCCCTTCTGCTAGCACAAGCATTATTTGCTTTTTTGGTTTTTTTGCTGGTTTAGTTCTAACCGGTGTCACATCCCTGGTCTGGTTCAACCTGAGGCTACACACATGCTTATGCTGGCATGAAGGAGAGGTTAGTGCAGGGACAGGAACAAGGCAGGGAAGGAGAGGAAATGCCTTCTTGAGAGCTCTGCTTTCCCGTGCTGGCTTCAAGTGTGTGTGAAACTACCCAGGGAGTCATGTACTTTACTGAATCTGACCCTGCTGCTTTTTTTATCAGTTATAACATTCAGTACTCCCATCCCTTTGAAACTATTCATCTCTTCATTAAAATCAAAAGCAATAAACGATGCATAAACCCACAGTACTCTGTAACTAAGTTGAACTGTCATTCGGAGTCTGTTTTGCAAAACGTTGTTTTACTACACCCACATAGCTCCACAAGAACTTTTGGGTCGCTGGCACAGTTTAAGAGGCCTGAGGACTGTGCTGAGTTCAGGCTCTTCATATGCATTTGCAAAAATCAACTATGTGAATCCAACAGGATATTTCGATTGCTGGAGCAAACCATGGGGAACAGTAATAGAGGATCTGGGCAACTGGGAACTGGCTGGGCTCTTCATAACATCTGGAAATGGACAATTATGTTTTTCTTTGTAAAGGTGTGGAAATTACTATAATGGTCTGGTTATTTTTTCTTTTTTTTTTCTTTTTTGTAAAATACCTATAAGTCAGTAATTTCTTACTTGGGGAATTCTTCAGAAATCTTTTGCCTTGTTTTGTTCCATTTCTCAAACACACATTGTTTTCTTCATTTAATATCTTTTAAGCACAGAGAACTAGGCCAGGCAGATATGTTCTTCAGGTCATAGATGCCTGGCCTCAACATGCCTCATATCCAAATCAGTGGTTACTCTGAAGAGCTGACAAAATTCTAAACTTTATTTTTCTTCCTGAGTCTTGGCATGCCCATGTATTATAGGTCTGAAGAAAACACTTGGCATTTCCTTCTGAAACTTAGACTTTCTTCTAAAAACAAAGACACAAATAGTTTATTTTGGAGTAGGAAATGTTGCTAGATTTAGTCATTTAATATGACTGTCAACTTTGCCTGTTTTCCTTAAAGGGACCTGATACTGTAAATCTATAGTGCTCACTTTGCTGTTTGACTTGGTAGAAGAAAATCAGTGTTAGGGCAGGTTCTTGCTTAAATGCACATGGTTTAAAATTGGGGGAAAACTAGTTTCCTTCATATTTGACTTTTGGTTGCTATGTAAAGCATGGGAGACTTGGATATGGGTAGCAGTCATTACATGGATTCATCCTACTTAAAGAGGAGAAAGTGAAAATTATACTCGGAAAAAAAGAAAATAAAAAAAAGATTGCAATATTTCCCAGGACTAATTCCCCTTTTGATTTGTAAGAAGAAAGGAGAATCTGTAGCCCTTGGAGGCAGTTTATTTTATCAGTGTTGGTTTTCAATCCCTGACTTCACAGCCAGTGGGACTGGTGTATTATGACAAGAAACATTTAATCATTGATTACATTTTCAAGAATTATATGATCATGACCAAAGGACATCCATTTGACTATGTAAATATATATTTTAAAACCTAAACTAAACACTAGGAGCTAAATTCAGTTGAGGGGTGAGCAGGGTACAATCCAGTGACCGAATTTTTGCCAGAACATTAGGGAGATGCATCTTAATCTCCCTTTTAATATTTAGAAAAATAAACATCATGTTCCTATGAAGTGAGTTCAACTGTGATGCAATTAGTGTGCCAAAATGTCAGAATGAGTGGGTGACTCCTTTTTTCCCCAGGGAGGGAGATGTAACAGTGATACAAAGGACCCTCAAAGCAGCTTTTGTGTTAGCTTCCTGTTACCTCTCCAAATTCACCTGGAAAGGTCTGGATTGTTTTTAAGAAATGAGGGATGAGTTAATGGTGAGTTGTTTAGGGAAGTGTTCCTGTGAGCAACAGCGTGCTGCAGGTTGGCATGTCACACCATACTGCATCTCCTAGGACTTGTGCAGACTTGCATCATGGCTCCATAATCAGAGATGGTTGTGGCAACAGGATCGTGCCCAGGGAACATGGGCACTGTGGCCTTGGCCATATAGCTGTCACTGTCGCTGTCAGGAAGGAAGGCAGGCAGGATCTCTTCTTCTGCCCTTTTTTCTACTCTGTTGGCATGAAAGGTGGTTTTGAACTCACTTCTGCTTGATGGCTTTGCCCATCCAAAATGTGCTTGTCTCCTCTGGCAAAAGGCAGCCAGCCCCATACTGCCTACAGGCTGACTGTTTTATTCACTGTACAATGCCATTAGGGTGTTCACAAGTGTGCTCACGTCTTACCTCCATAAATGGTTTTATCTATATGGTAGATGCCTGGCAACATGTTTGAATTTTAGCTGTTTAAATCTTTCAGTTCCAGATGGATAGGCAGTTCAAAACGATTTCCTGCATATTTTTTCTGTGTCTGGTATTTGTTGATCCAAATAGCATATATGTCATTATCATATAGAGCAAGTATGTGTTTGTTCTGCTTGATTAAATTCCTGAGTTCCCAGCATTCTTCCAGTCCTGCCTCAATCACCACACTTGGGAGGTAGGCTATGAGCAGCACTGCATGCCAGATTTTGGTGTGTGACAGTCAGGCATGGTGTCCACATGTGGAAAAAATGTCCTGTTTGCATCCACCAACGTGTCAAGTGATGTCTGTTGCTCTTCTACAGGTTTAGAAATAAAAGAACATGTACAGAAGCAAGAAGTCACCAACAGTTTGCCGGCGCCTCCTCAAATGCCTCTGCCAGAAATACCTCAGCAGTGGCTGGTGAGTGTTAATCTAAATATATAAATATATTTGTAAGAGAGAATATTTGTGATAAGCAACAACAAACTGTTACAGGGGGAAGGAGCCTGCAGGTCCAGGGAAATTCTTATACCTATCATTTTCCACTCTGCTTGAGGGAAGCAGGTTCCATTTGCAGAAGAGAAGGCAAAAAAATGCCCTATGATGAAATAAGCTTGGGAACAGATCACCTGCAAAGGCTGTGGGAGCACAGTCTTTGGCAATTTTCAAAGTTCAATTGGCAAAAGTCAGCAATTTAAGATTAACTTCAAGGGTTGACCTGTCTTGTGCTGGAGGTTGGCCTAGCCCACAAGTGCCAGTCAGTTTCTTATGATTTTAATGATCAGTTTTTCCAGGAGTAAGCATTATGAAAAAGATTCCCTCTTGATAGCTGGAAAATGAAGGCTCAGAGTTTCAAAATGAAGGATTAATACTTCTTGTTTGTAAGAAATCCAAGTCTTTAGTACCCTTCTGTGCTCAGCCTCTGGGTAGGAAATTCCCCGCAGAACAAGCAGAAGTGCGTGTTCTTGGAGATGTTTATATCAAAGATACTGATTGAGATCTGTAATTCAATCCCTCCAGTTGGGAGCAGCTGTCTTATTATAAAATAAACTATAAACATATTTTAATGCTCCTCTATTACTGCCTTCACAGGAGATTTGAAGAAAACATTTTCAGCTTTTTCTTAGCGAAGCAGAAGCAAATCATGGGTTAACCCATTGAAAGGTGGACATGGTCTTAGCCCTAATACTGAAAATTATCCATAATTTTATTCATCTGTGGGAAATTTTATGCATGGTGAGAAGGACAATGCATGGTGGATCACATTAATTGGCTGAATTGAGAAGTACAGATGCACCTTACAGGGGCAGAACTGAATGGCTGATATTCTGCTTGATTTTAGTGTATTACTCTGTTATTCCATTTCTGCCCAGTTTTAAGAGATACATAAGATATATATATCTTATATAAGCCAGTAGCAGTTTATGAGCATAAGAACCAATTTATCAGACCAAACTCTTGGCCAGCCTTTCATAATACTTTTGTAATTACCTTTATTTGGTGGTGAATAGTGCTGTGTATTGCAGAAGAAAGTAAAAACACCCAACAAACATGTATTATGTAGGATACCTTAATCATAGTTTATCCCTCAGCACTGCCAGCTTTTGGTTTGTGACCTGAACAAGATTTGTATATGCTGCAGTCGTTATAGGAAGAGAATGTTTGTGTTAGAAGCATTCATATCCAGACCTGGTATATATACTGTAGCAAAATTCAACTAAAAGGGATGCATTAAAATAATTATGCATAGATTTGAATGGATGCAAAAGTGGTCTTATTAATATGCAGTACAACCTGGAGAATTCATTTCATGGTTAATAGTGCCTGAAAATAATTATTTTTCTTTAATTCAAGATGCATATAGCATAAATTACAAGGGAATAGGTTGATGAGAGGCAGGAAAATGATGCAAAATGCACATGCCTTTGAAATGTAGACTTTAGGTGCTGGCTTCATAAACTGAAGCCGGTTGAGATTCTCCTTCTTTCATGTTTATGTAGGTTCAGTTTAATAAATTAGCTCTGAAGATTCAAATTGTTTTTATAGAGACAACTGACTTACTTTTTCTTTCTCATACACTAATGTGTAAATTCCCTGAAAGTTGGTACAGCTGCATAGTGTGAAATATGAATTAGGTCCAGCAGGTCAACACTGGGTTTTGCAGTAGTTCAGTTTGCATTTTTGAGTAACAAAAATACTTTTCTGAGATCCAGTGGGAATTACCATGGAAGTTGACACAGAACTGGTTGATCTGAAGCATGACCTTCCCATATTGAGCCTGGCAAAGTGGAGCTTGAACATCGCCATCCCCTCTGACCTGCCTGTAGTGCTGCGGACACTTTCAGTGAGGTCACCAAGCTGACCTGTTTTTTCCATAGTGGTGGAAGCTGATTTTTGCCGGTTTTTCTGCAATTCCTTTTTTTGCCGCCAGGCCGTGGCGGTTTCCACCTCCCTTTCTGGTGTCAGTCTCACTTTGAAATCAGCCACAAAATGGCCCAGGGCTCTCATTGACTTGCAGTATCCAGATACAGGTTATGATCTATTTTAAGATGGTAGCACATTGTAATTTGTGAAAAAGATGACAGGCTGCTGCTGTCCTGCTAAAAGTCAGGTGGAGTCAGAAAGGAAGGACAAAACCATCAGCTTTCTGGCTTTTGAACACAGGGGCAAGCTCAAACCACAGTCTGGCTGTTTAAAAACTCCTCCTCATGTTGAACTAATGGAATTGATCTTTAGCTGTTTATTTGAAACCTTTCCCTATTAGATGCCTCTTTATTAGCCCCTCAATTATTAGTATGATCAGAGGCTTTCATATATTGTCTTCCTTTTTACATCAGGCTGAGGCATCAGTGACAGTGGCCAAGATATAATTTTGCTTTCCTTTAATGCTCCTGTGACAGAAATACTGAACTACCTTTCCTAGCCACTTTTCATAGACCATGCTTTCATAGTCAAGTAAAAGAAATCTCCTAAGCCCACTAAAGGACAGGGAATTCTGCTCCTGGTTCCCCTTCTTGACAGAGCAAATTGGAAGTCATGTTGTATGGTATCTCTTTTTCTCAGCCATTCAGGACAGAAACATTTTCCACTTGCTGAATAACATGGTGGTCTCAGCCTCCAGCAGAAACACAGTGGGCTCGTGGAACATAAGAATTTACTGGAAGTGGCAATCAATAACTTTAAATGCACTATGCGCTGTTATTGAGTATGATGAAAGTTAAAGTTTCATTTACACCACTGTTTCCCTTTATGGCACTCAAGGGATTCTGTATTCAAAAATGTTTAGTTTGAATTGATGTTTAAGCTTTTACTTATGTAAAGATGTGTGGGTGGAAGGAATTCAATACTCCTTAAAGTAGTGCCAGGAGACAGAAGTATGTGTGGGCAGGTGCTGTGCAAGGTTTCCTTTGTAAATCTGTAAATAGACCTGCATATTTGCTCAGGCCAAATCTTGTATCAGTTTTGTTATTCATCAGCCCATGAACAAAGAGTGTAAACTTAATTTGATTTAGAAACATGCTGTTAATAGTTTAAATATAGTCTCCAGGTATTAAAACATATTAAAGCCTGGAGAGATTTCCTGGACTCAGTGGGCTTTAGACCAGGTCTTAAAATTGAGGGACAAATTTGGACTTCGCATGTACTTTACTTGAATAGAGTGAATCACTATGTACACCTTCTGTTAGTAATTCTCTTTTTCTGTGTGCATTCCCTTGCCTACATCTGGGCTACCAGACTTTCTGTCAGGCTTAGGAAGCACAAACCCTCACTTGCTTTAGCTTTTGCATACCGCTGCTTCAGATGGCTGGCAAAGTAAAAGCTGCAGATAAAGAATGTGAGCATAAGGGCAGCTTGGGAGTCCTGCTGCAGAACTGAAAGGCCATTTGCTTGGGTGCTTTAGGATGTGCTTGTTAGCATGCATACAGTGCCAGCAGCTAGGGAAGCTTTGCCTAGCTCCATAGCAGAGGAGATCACCCTGTTTAAAATAGTCATATTAGTTCTCTCCTCTTGACTCTACTGAGAGGGCTTGTGTCTTTTAGCTTGCTTTTTCCATCTCTACATCATCAGGTACTGTTATGATGTTTCCTTGCTCTTGACAGGCAAGTAGCAGTGGTAGACGATGAGTTTGGTGGGATAACAAAGCCAAGGCTCTGTGTGTACCTCTAAGTGCTGCTGGTGGTTTAACACCTGGGATCTCATCATTGTTCTATCATCAAGTTGCCTTGAAATATGTTTTCCATTGAGGCTGTAGGATAACATCCGGTGTGTCCTGCTGCTCAGATGTGCCTGAGGATTACTGGCATGAATTATGCCCAGCATGACAGTGACAGAATGCTTCCAGCCTCCAAGCATTTGGTTGTCATATTACGTCTGACAGTTGGTGATTTCAGTTCACTCTGCAGTCCAACAAAATCAAATACAAACAGCACACTTAGCTATTTTTCATGATTTTCACAGTAAAATTGAGTATACGTTTTGTTTTTCCTGGAATATTGTCAATTTAATAATTATTTAACCACAACAAGTGTCCAGCAAGGTGCCAGAACCCCTGTAGATATAAATCAGAAGGATAGGTCCTGCAACATACACAGTCAGTCTGTAGGAGTGTTTCATATATATGGGTTTCTTACTGCAGAGAAGCGATTTGACAGCCTCCCTTTATCTGGCTGCCTTGTATACTCTTAGATACTAGAAAATGCTGTCCTTGGAGAAGAAAAGAATCATCCAGAAATCAGAAGGATTTTTGAGGTGATATATCACTAATTACGTTAACCATTCTTTGAACAACAGCCAGAAAAGTGCCAGTCTTTAAGCTTCTTCTAAAATGTGCAATGAGGCTAGTGCCATAACTAAAGCAAGGGTTCATGTGCTAGGCAGGTACTTGCGAACCTTTTATTTCATCTTGTTTTTCCTTCTGACACTGAAAAGCAGTTGTTATTATTCTCTGTTCATGTTAAAACAAAATCTTAGGACCGTATTGGCCTTGCAGCCTTTTTCTTGCAGGACATTTTTAAAAGCCACAAAAAAGAATTGAACAAAAATTCATCTGTTTAATTCTGAGCTGGCCAATAGCTTCAGCTTGAACAGATCTCAACAAATTCTTCTGTAATGAAGGAACAACTAAAGGGGCTTTTTTGATTACTTACTGCAGTCACTCTTACTGCAAGCAATTATTAAAGAATAAAATTATTAATATTTTATTATTTTATCAATAAATAAATTAAATATTAACCTTTCAGAAATGTGCCAAAATCTATTTTCTAGAATGTAGGTTTCTTTAACCCACTATTTCAATTTGAAAGGCTGTTCCACCATCCCAAAGTTAGTTGCAAGCCTTTGTTCTTGTGTTTAAATATATCATTTTCTTTCCTCACATTCATACCTGTGCCTCATGTATCTTCTGAAATTGCAGTCATATT